TCCAATGAAATTTCTTTTTTGCGTTACTAAGACAGTAGCCTCGGTGATGCGCATTGATCACTCATCTGTCCCCCTGTTCGATACTGCGACCCGCCACATTTTCATAACCCTATTTGTCTCCTACAAAGCACCAAAAGAAAAAATCAGGGAAAAATTCAAATGCATATCTATTGCATCAAGATCGAAAGAAGACATATGTCGCGAGATGTTAACATTTCGCCTGATCTTCTCAATCGCTGACGTAAAACAAACAAGCACATTTATAGCACATTGGATTTGTAAATCCTGGTGAACGGACATGTACAGATAAACAGGGGTTATCAGAATGAACCACAAGAGGTCAACTCCACGGCGGGGGAACCGATTGTGTCAGCAACTTTTGGGCTCACAGAACGGGATGATGTAATCTGATTAGCAGATGTATTGGCCGCATAATTCATTATTGGGGCTCATCAACAATGCGTACTGTTTGTGTGTTCCGAGTGGAACTCAAACCGCGTTGAGAGTTGAGCCTCTTACAGTCGGCGGTCAACACTTGGCATGAATACACCTATCACTTTATACAAGGTAGTTGATTTTCCTCATGGTAATTCACAGACACCACAGTCTATTTATCAATATTTTGCTGTTTTTTCCACCATTTGAAAGTTTGTTAATTTCATATTCCACTGGAATTTCGCTATCCCAGATTACGATGAATAACCTTTTCAATACTTCAAAATAATTTAATTTTAAAAATCACTTGTTGATTCATTCTTCCCGTTCTGTGTTGATCAAGTTCGTTCTACCAAATTCCTCAACGATGAGGAATCAATGTTCCCGTTTGTATGTTCAAGTTGTTGTTTGGTGTGCTAAAGTCTTACGTTGAAATTGTGAAATGTTCGGTGGCCTCGAGGAGATGTGCATACTTCCGTTCAACCGCTAACCGCCAATTCACTTCACCGCCCATTAATTGAAGTTTCGCAAGCGACCTAATGCCGCGGTTGCCCAAATTGCGAACGTACAAAACGAATTTCTTCTTCCCACTACGTATAAAGCTGCTGTATACTTTCACGGTTCTTCCCCTCCTTTCTCTCTGGCTGAGAGAACTGTGGTGAGTATGGTGGCAAACATTTTCCCCGCAATTTGTCGAGGAGAATAAAATAGTGCTGACCTGATTTGATTCAGTCCAGGTGTGTGTGTGTGTGGGGGGGGGGGTACCTTGAGCCGATTAAACTCGCATCGACCTCCGGTTATCCGAATATCGTCTCCATTTTCATTTTGGCTGGAGTGATAAAAATCAGGTCAACATCTGACAGGAAAATTTGACTCAAACATGCTGACAGTGGATAGATAGAATCGTACCGGCATAAGTTCGCATCTACATGGTTTTGAAAACAAGTCCGTCAGGGACAGTGAATTTGACAATCAAATCAAGATTACCATATGCGATTCTTCCAATTCGGTGGAACAGAAAATTTTCTAAAATATATCTCACATACATGAATGTTTTATCATAATAAAATATAGTGCAGATAAGTGTCAAATGTGTTTGTCTTACGCCATATTTATAGGGCATAAGTCGTGTAAGCATAGAACCTACATTGATGAAAAAATCAGTCCATTAATTGGTTTCCATCGACAGGTCCGAATCGATCTCGTCTGAAAGTTGTCAATCTTATTTGTTCCCAATAAACAATAGTCTGTTACAAGGATCAGAGGAATGATGGCTTCCCGAGGAATAAGGGGGAGGCAGGGGGGAGGGGAGGAAGAGGCGGTTCAGACTGCCCGTGTTTTCATTTTGTTTCATGCGACCATCTTCGCTCAATGCAGGATCGATGCCACACATCACCCACGCGACTATTCACTCATGACATTGTACTGTGTGTGTTTTCTTCCACGCACCCGTGGCCAGTTCGAAGCGAGTGAGGTGAGGCGGTAGGTTGGCTTCTGTTGTAAACAAGAAAATCATCACCGTCCCTACAACTTCTGCAACCCGCCCCCGCTCCCACGCTTGGCAGTGAAAATGGGATTCTGAGTGGGTGACCTTCAGTAGGTGTTCATGACTCATTTGCAGCCACGGTCTGTTGTTTGTTGTCTATTCGCACGCTAAAGTGCATTCTTGAAGTGAAATGATCACCAACACTTAATCTGTTGTTGTTGTTGTTGTTGTCGTCGTCGTCGTTGTCGTCGTCGTCGTTCTTTCCTAGATGTGGCTTACGCTAGTGGGGAAGTGGCAAATTTGCAAATACACACACAGAGAATGCCACTGACTGCTTTCAGCTCCCATTCAAAACTTATTCTCTCTCTCAGTGACAATAAAATGACCTAAAGCGGCAGTTCGGAATGTGTGATTTTCTGCAGTTTAGCGTTTCACAGTCTTGTGTTGAAAAATTCCGGATTGATTGATTATTCTCCTTCCGTTTGTCTGTCCCTAACGTGTATTCAACCTGGTTGGTTGATTTGTGTTCCCAAGCTTTCCAGATCTATTGTGGGGTAATCAGTCGACCTTTTTCGAAATGCCGGGCAAAAGCTTTCAGCTATTAGTGTTTGTTTACGTAAAAGCCGACAAAGAGAGCTGGACAGGTGTCTCGTCTACGTGAAGGGATTCGTCAGCAGTGTGAGTACTATTCATGTGTGTTCCTATCGATACTCGGACGGTGAGCCCTCCGGAAGAGGGTCCCAAAACTTTTACTTCCAAACTACACGGTCGACGGCTCATAGTTGTATGGATAAAATATTTTTTCTTGTTTTTAATTCTGTGGAACGTCGTCTGTGCATTTTTGTTCTCGTGCGGGTCACACTCCTCGGGTGTGTATTTATTCTGAAATATTTAGGTCGATAAGGTTCCACTGGGGAAAAGCGAATATCACGCGTTGAGATGACGAGTCCCTTCACATAAAGTGTACCTGAATAAACTCCTAAAGCGTAGAATGCATTCAATCAACGGACATCTATACTGGTCGCTTTACCTTCACCTGAGGCGCTAGCAAAAGCATTCTTCAACAAATTGAAAATAACTCATAAGGGATAAGGTGGTACGGTTCAAGGGAATTACTTCGTCTATACACGTGTGTTTGTCACGAAGAATCAACACGTTCCTCAACCCTGCAAAGCCTTAAAAGCACTGTGCAGTTGTGTCATCTGTCTCAGAAAACAGCACCACCATTGCATGTCCATCGAACAGACTACGTTTTTAAACCCGAGCACGTCTGGTGATTAATCCAGTCCAATAAACTACGTTGGCTATCCCAACCGGCGGCTCTAAACAGCCTTTTTACAACTAAACGCTTCCTCATCCAGCCATCACCCATCCCAGTCGTTAAAAGTACGGGGCTTTGCCAGAGAGTGATCGATTGCTTGATGCACTGTTATTTTTGTCAGTGCTGAGATCACCCTATCTCATCCGGTGCGATTAGTCTATAATTAGTTCGTTTGTGGCGAAATTTCCCCAATCTACCTGCAAGACCCGATTTGATAGCAAAGGGCTTTCAAATAGAGTTCACATAGAGCCAATTCTAGCTCCTATCGTTGGCATCGAACTAGCAACGAACTGATTGACGGCAGCTGACGATAACATTCGAAAGAAAACTAAAAAATAATTGGTTAGTGTCTGTATGAGCAGTTGATCAGTACTATTGAAACTCACTCTACACCCATGCGAGGAGTTCGAAGTCTGGTTCCCAGATGAGGTCGAAAAAGAGTGAAACTCAAGTATGATGTTTCCTAGCTGACGGTTGACTAGATGCACGGAGTACTGTGCCTAAATATGGAACCTATAGAATTGCTAGTCCCAATAGAGATATATATTTTGTACTGGAAAAATTACATTTGTAGCTAGCTTTATCGATGATCAATGCATCAGATCTTCTCCGTTACTTAATTTTAACCCAGAAAATACAAACAGTTCTATTTTAGTACTCGTTTCCAAGGATTATGAATACGTTCTGTGTTCTGTGTATAATTATCGATTTCGAAAGATATGTGCACAGAATAAATCAACTACAAGAATGTCTTATTTTTTAACTCGAGTAAATTCTTGATCGGTTGTTTTGTAAATTATTTCAAAGTGGTTGACAAAGTTTTTCTGATTTTTCCGAATGAAAAGTATACATTACGAACTGTTTTTATACAACAATTCATGGTTGGAGTCATATTGCCTCGGACAATGTTAGTTTGGGTATTTTTATCGATTGTTTCCATCCGAGAATGGATCTGTTCAATGTTTGGCATTCATTTGACTGTCTCCTTCCTTCGCTCTCTCTCTCTCCGTATACCACTTTGGAACGGGGATATCAAATCGATAGTTGTACAAATGTTTGCAGGCTGTTAGATGCTTGAACAAACGATTTGACAAGGATATACGTTGAAATGTTTATGCATAACTATCCACAAAATGAACCTGTCTGAACTAATTCTGTTCATTGTGATTATTTTCGATCTATACTCGATATATCAGCAAGATTTATCTTTTATAAAATCGATTCGGAAGCACCTTTGGGGACAGAACATCGCAGCATCGCTGCCTGTCTCCCTTTCCATCATGCTCATTTTGATTATCCGGCTGTTTTTCTCCATCAAATGCGATTTAGTTTGGATCGATTTAGCGATTTATTGCCTGGTGTTTTTGTTCTCTCCTCCAGTTACTTATTTCCCAAAACGACCAATAGGAAAACAGCTGACAGGAATGAGAATAAATCATCACAAATCCCTTTAAGTCTGAGAATAATAATTATCAATGAATCCGGGGAATTCTAGTTCTCAATGAACCCTAATCTAAAAATATATTCTACCTATTTACTGGTTCCACAATGATTCACTGGACCAGCCGATCGGTTATAAATTCCAGTAAGCTTATGCGATGGACTCAATATAAGTTCAGGAAGAGAAACATTTAGCCCACCACGGTTCACTAAACATTTAATATTCTACCTGAACATGTGATCTTCTGTTAGCTAGCTGTCAAAATGTTTACTTACAACACTAGAATAATACTTCCATTGGGATTTACTTCGCACAAAATGTTCCGTACTAATTCAGCTCACGAGCTCATTGTGAATCGGGTTTTGAAATCGGTACAGATAACCGTATATCGTTCCGTTCTCGTACGTTACAGCGATGCTGGCTTGAGGCGTAAATTCCAACTGGCTCTAGAAGATCTCAGAGTTCATGGACCACCCGGTGTTTCCCGATTTCCCGGACCCAGTCACGTTCGACCTCAATGGATCTGTGATGTCTGGTTACGTCAACATATCGGCTTATCGCAACTGGCTCCGCTGTTCGCAGTGCGTCGCATTGACGGCCGACTACTTGCCAGTTTGGCTATTTACAAACGAACAGGAAGAACAAATCCTGCATCTGCACTGACCAATAGAAATAGCCGAACCCAACTGACGATATCCAGCCCGACTGAACTGATTGTGCATCCAAACCCGGGTAGCTCTCTACCCGGTACTCCTTTACCCCTGAACGGACCACGTATGCAGTCCGGGGAGAATAAGACCGCCTCAGATCGAAGCAGTGGTGTGGCGTGGCGTGGGGCTAGTCGAAAGGAATTCCACCGGATTCTGCTCGGGCTCAGTCGAGATAACTCAGCCGTGAATAGAAAGGGAAGCATGCAGTCTACGGGCAGGGATCGAGCTGTTGCGGCAGTATAATTTTAATTTGGATGTGAGTTCTTCTTTTCCCACATGATTTCATGTTAGGTTTATTTTCGTCTGTTTATCTTTAAGCCCTTATCTGCGGAATATTTTGTGCTGTAGACCTAACTTTATTAGATCGGTTTATGAATCCGCCATTCATTCGAGAGTACCGTCCAGGGTGAAAATCACCTAGAGTATTACAATGTTCTTTCCATAGTTTGTTCAAAACGAAAGTAACATATTGGATGGAAGGTGAGAGTCACATTCCTTATCCGTCTCAACTGCTCACTCGTGGAGATGAGTCGCCAGGAAAAGGAACCGCATAAAAAAAAACACAAATGGGCAATACTCGGGAAGTCCGGTGCAATGGCCTGGGAATGTTGTGCTGAATGATTGTATGGGAGCTAAGTTGCAGTCAGCAAGACATCTACAACATTTTTGATCATCTACTTGTGCGACCAAAATTGCAAGTACTTTTTCCATATGAAGGACCTAATTCATAGTGGTTCCCTTATTGAACATGACAGTTAACTTTTCGAGAACCATTCAAGCTACGTTGAGTGTTTTAGTGCCCCAAAGATCAACGACCATTATCAATTGTTCAACCGTACAGTTGAGTATTCACCCAGATGGGGCGGATTGAAGCGATTAAGTGACGTGACTTTAACGCACTCTCGTCCATCGTGACACTGGCAACAGTGATTGTTGTCATTAGTAGGTATACCATACAATACCGCTAAAAGCAAAAGTGAATGTTCCGGTCTGAAATTTTTCTGGTAGAACACTGAGTCCTTCTCGAATATTCGAAGGTAATTTGGGTTCTGTGTAACATTCTCGTGTGATCGTACCAGACCAGATGCAATATATCACGTTTTACGCAGAAAAGGCAGTTGTTTTGCGAATTCGGAGTTCCATTTATGAGAACTGTGACGTAATTTGGCTTCCTCTTGTTCTAAATATACAGTAAATCATGCGTCTTTACTAAAAAAAACGAATATATGCTGGAGTAACTCGACAGGTATCTTCAAGCTTCGTTACAAAACCTTCCCAATGCTCTGTTTTTTGTAAACAGCATCAGTTTGACTAAGAAATAAAAAGGTCTCCCGAGCACTGGTTCCGACTATCAGTTTTCAACAAAATTTGATTGACTAGTAATCATAATCAACATCATGTATAGTCACTATATCTTAGTTGAGAATAAAACAACTACAAAATTAACATTTCATGCTGGTTTATTCACCAAACTGATCCAATGTGTTACTCACCATTGCAAAATCTTGAAAATGAGATGCCTAGAATTCATGTTTGTTAGAAAATATAACTAGTGACTATCCATCGAATACACTGACATTCGAACCCGGATACGACGGGTTAATAGTCCGATGCACTAACTACTGGGGATCTTGCAGAAGGTAACTAACAATAGCTTCTTACAACTCAGCTCTAACCCACGCAGCACCTATCCACTACAATCCTTAAAAGTACGTTCCCTTGCCGGACACTAACCGACTGCCTACTACACACCTTGTCCCTCAATGCTCAAATGTCACTGTACCTTGTCAAGTACATTCGGGCTCTACCAACTGAATATTGTTTGTCATTCCGCTTTCCGAGGTCTCTCCAGGGACGACTGAAACTACTTCCCGGTAAATTTGTCCTTTTCGACGTGTATAGTAAAACGTTTGAGCGAGAATTCCCGAAGAGCACCCTTATTTTACCTTGTGTGCAGCACAGGCACTGAGAGGCGATGCGCCAATTCCAATTGTTACATTCGTTCAAGACGGTTTAAGATGGTTTAAATATGGGATAGATGAAAAGAATAGCCGACGTTTGAAACCGCTGATTGTTCGTCTAACACTTCTTTCCGAGAGGTAATGTTTGCTGTCTGTTATGTAAGTCCGATACATCCATTTCATCCGATCTAGATTAAGCATAACAATCAACGGTATTATTTTGTGCAAAGCAATTCAGAGATTCAGAACGTCTGTGCTGAGGCCTCCCAGAAATTTGGGTCCTAGTCTTTGATAAACGTGCGACCACCTATCTCATCGTAAATTTTGCCGATTCTCACNAAATTGGCCCTGTTCCGTTCCTGAACAATGAGATGAAGGGACAAAGCAATCGACAGCCAGTCCCAAACTGATGCGTCACATGCTGCGGTTACTATTCATGTGCCACGACGGGGACCACGTTTCTCACTCCAATCTGGTTGACGAGCTTGGTGAGCAAGTTGGCATATTGGAGCAGGCAGACGAAGTGGTTAGTTCAATGCTGAGTCCAAACTGATTTTCAGCTTCCCGTTCACTATCAATAGTTCAGGGTTCCAATGAAGTTGGATGCCCTGGTTCCCACGAGTAGCATGGTGAGGAACTAAGATGTCTTTTGCAAGCACAAGCATTACACTGCACCTCTACATTTGCGTTGTACGATTTTGAGATAGAGTTCAAATCTGCCAGACTGCTTACACTAGTTTTCGGCTAGATCGTGTGGAATCATCTCTGATAGGAGGATGCAAAAGGCCAAATTGATGGACAGTAATGTTTGTCTTACAGAAACCGCTCATTTCAACACCGTTATCTCTCGCGCGTGACTAGGTACATTCTGCCTGTTAAAGTTACTCTTTTCCAAGTGTAACAAGAGAATAAAAGACCAGTCTACGGTTTCCGGGTCGACTGAGGCGATTTTTTCTTGTCAGTTTGAATGTAAAACGAATAGAGTAATATTGAATTACAATGTTTTTTATGGGATCTGATTTCGGTACGGAAATGGAAGGTGGACAGATCGGAACTGAAAGGAAGGCTGGGTTTTTGAGATACTGCTATGGGAAATTCTTAAATCCGGGTTAATAGAAGGATAATAGAAGCACTACTAGCCTAGGAGTGTGTGTGTGTGTGTGTGTGTGTGTGTGTGCGGGCGCGCAGATCAATCAGGTGGGCACTGCTTGGAAAATTTACGGATAATGATAAATAGAACAACCTACTGGTATGTGTGGTACACTGAACTAATCATGGAAAAATTTTGGCAAGAATAATAATGAGCTAGCTACGGACTGCTATGGTGAATTCTTCGAAGAAGATAGGTTGAGAGCAGAACGTCAACAGACCAGGTTGGGAAACTGCACGAACTGTTTACGTTACATAATATTCCGGTTAAAGGTGTTTCGGATATAGGGCCAATGAATTTCCAAAATTCGCAGAATTGACCCTTCAATCACTACATTTTTAGCCCCTTTTGAAGCTAACCTAACCGGAAGGCAGAGAGAGAGAGATAGTCGGAGAAGCAAGCCAAGAAGATACTGAAGCAATCTTGTGTGGATGCTAGCGATCCAATATTGTTTCCCCTCGAACTACTATTGGGGTAACGTTTATCTAGATGACGCTCATGTTGCAGGCTTCCGTTAATCGATCCGGTAATCACCTCGCCGGGAAAATTGAAGTGGATTTTTAGTAGGCGAATGAAGATTCAAAAGAATTCACATGGCCGAAGAATCAAGTCTCTTTGCCCATCTTCAACCAGGAGACCAAGTTCTGGTTCCCTTTGTGGAACCGACGAAAAAGCTTTGGATGGAGGTACTTAAACGAAGAACCAGCGTCCACCTAAGAAAAACTGAAAACGAAGATGATATCAGAGATTATCCAACCAATACGGACAGTCCAGCCAATAAATCTGATTTGACAAACGTAACGGCGGAATAAGCACCGGACTCATCAAATTGTGCAGAGATTTCCTCGCCATCACGAACCTATAACGAACGAATGCATCAATCAGTCTTCTAGTGAAAGAACAACAAAACGGAAAGATGTGATGAATCATATTTCATGACTGGTTTTGTCCCATAAAAAGCTTTTATTTCTCCCATCGTTAACAAGCGATTTCGTTGGCTAAACCGGCTTTTGTAAGAAAGTCGATTTTGACATTCGATGTTTGTTTTCGTGTTGTGCGCCTAAAGCAAAAAAATACTTGTCCAGTTCCTAAACAACCGACTTTGGACAGTTTTGTGATTAGAACACACAGTTGATGAGGTCTTGAGCCGTGGCAATGTTTTAAGTTATCTGAAGAAAATCAAAGGGGAACAGTAAAGCACTGTGAGAAAAAAATGCACTAATAGAGAAAAAGAACAAATGTTTGAATACCTTGTTGTGAATGAAGTCTGTATATCTGGAGGAATAATAATCAGTGCCGTTTACCACCACAGTTTTGTCCAAGTGTGAACCACAGTACCAGAACTACAGGGGTAACTTCGATGCACTTGATGGTGGTGGTTGTTTGTGTTTGTGTGCGCTCTGATTACGACTCCAGAGGTGACAATCGAAGGTTTTAAGTGGCACTCAGTTGCCGTTCACGTGAAAACAGCATTCCTCTGAAACTGTTTGGTTTTGTGATAAACTGTCGAAATAAGTTTGTGATACTTTGTCGTTAGAATCACATCAACAGATGTTGGCCAGAGGGATATGAGATAGATCGCCGATAAGTGTTTGGAATAAGTTTTTGGAAGGTGCAGCACCTTGAGTGATTTGCGAATAATTGAATACCGGTTCCGCAACAGTTTAGTTTGCTTCCTTTCTTCCAATTCTTCCGTGATAGTATAAACATAGAACGGTCACTTTCGTAGGCGAAAGAATCGTGGAATGGAATTTAAAATTTAAAAATTTATCTAGGAGGACACAATAGTTAGTAGTTGGGAAATTGTCCGAATAGTTAAAAATAGTGTATTCGTGAACAGGCAATCTCTCTATGCCTACATTTACCTTATATGTATGGATTTTGTGGCCTTAAAAAGATCAGATAATTTCTCATGTGAAAATATATCAATGATAGGCGGGGTTTGACGAAAGCATTAATTCGTCAGAAAGTTAAATAGCCACATCATTGTGGCTTTTCGCATAAATAGGTTTGTTTTTTTTCTCGTTTCTTTTGTTCACATGGTCATCTGATCGCTGGCTACAAACCGCTTCCGTTCTAAAACTCTCAGGACTTATCTGGTGATCATTCAGGTTCACCATCTCCCCTTCGAT